GCAGCAATGGTCGTCTACACCAATGAGAGATTTTCTTCGACCAATTATAGAATACTTGCGGGAAAAGCAAGTATGTTTGTTTTAAGATTCGATGTGAGGCAGCACGTGGGATATTCATGTTTGAGGGTTGGAGATCTCCGGTTTCAATCCCTCCTCACGAGCGACACATTTTCCTATCGAGTGGGTATGTTGATCAGGCTGAAACTGTTTTTACCCCTCCTTCCTGCTCTTGTTAGTCTCAGAGGGGAAAGAGATGAAAACAAAAAGCACACTATCGAACCTCTCGACCGCGACTCTATTGAATACCCCCGTCGCATAGGTATAGCTGATATACCGGATATAAAGTGTTTTTCCTGATCTTCAAGAAAGCATCTCTGAGACATTTAGCAGTCCAGGTGGAACAACGGGTTGTGTTTTTTTGACTGATGAAATGCTCGAGATTGTGCTTCTAGCTCACTGCAGAAACTCTAATTGCTTTTATAGATAAGTGTCATGCATCTAGTAAGCAGAGCTACTCCGAAGTTTGTTTCGGCCTTCATGGGTCTGCCAAGTTTCCGATAACTCGGGATAGCAACACTCGTGTCAGCCCGTAAGGCCAATCGGTGAAAAGTATCTCTCTTCTCTTATTCCTCTCTTATTATTTGGCTACTCACGACAACGAGTTTCTCGATACAACCGGTTGAATGAGAACTGTCTATCGAAGGGCTAACAATGAATTTAAAGAAGATTTAGGAGACGGTGCTGAACTAAAAGAAGGAAGTTTACTAGATTTTTGAACACTTGTTGTCGGAAGGAGCAAGGTGAACGTTCATTCCTTCAATTATACGGGCTGCATGTGATTTGCGCAGTAGGTAAGCCGAAGCCGGCTTAGTCGCCTGAAAAGATGTGGTTCTTCGGAACAATATCATTGAATTTAAGGGATGTGGTTTTTAGTTCGCATGGACTAGATTTCCAAATGTGTTTGGAAGTGGTCTCTGTCTAGCGCACTCTCTGCGGGTCATATCTTGATTACCCCTCACGCTACCCCAGACCTGCGGACGTGATGACAGCCAAGGCGTACCTAGATGGTTTAGTCAAGCGGTAGGTGGTGATTGGATGAGTTTATGAAGACCTCAGATGCATACCCAGGCCCATTCTTGAATATCTGAATATGATCTTCTCCAGCAAACTTTTGAAACTGCCTTTGACCCCGTCCGGACATACCAAACTGATCTGGCATATATTCCGTTCAAACAGCAGGTAATACTGAGCAGATAATATGACATGTCTACGTGAGCAGCAGTTGAAACCCACAAAACGTGTTCTTTTTGATTTCGATATCGGGTTTCCGGGTTTCTTACGGATCCCTCGATGTTTGATCTTGGTGTCGCATGGCACCCATGTAGAAATGGTCAACTATTTCAGCCCGCACGGCACGATGGGTACTGTTCTAACTTGTTCCGGTCAGCATAACTAGATATCAATGCAGAAAATAGGACTACGGGGTTCAAAAGACTCAAGATGAAACCTCTTCCAAGGTTCCAAATAGAAACGATCTTGGTGACAGACACAGTTGAAACGGTCGTTTGACGTTGCCAGAACCAATGACAGCGCGCCAAGCCCCAGCGCCAAGCTGACTAACCACCCCCTTTTTTTAAGCGGAGCTGGAAACGTCAGGTCTTCAACCAGCCGCAAAATATACCTACCCCTCGGGATGAACAATGGGCAATCGGGGATTGAGATAATGATAGTATCGGGACTGCGATGTTCAGGCGCTGCGGAACCGATAGTGGTTTATGACAGCTTGTTGTGCTTTCGGGTGTTGTCAGCTTATTCCCCGCCCGTTACCAGTCCCGCCATTTCCGATTGTGTATCTTCAAAGTCACCGATATCACGACTCCGCTCCGGATGACTACAGCCATTAAGCTGCGTGCTGTGTACACGCTCTCTTGAGAGTGTATTTTATTCTGCTAAAATTTGAGGTTGAAACGACTTCGATTTAGGATTCCGATCTAACTTGAAGCTACATTTTGTGTTTGTGACCGTCGTCTCCAAGTTCCTTAGATCTCCATTCTCACAGTCCTCCTTTCAACCTTGCTTGAGTATGTGTTGAACCCATTATATGGACAAACTTCTTTTTTCCTTTTTCGTTTTTCTTTATTTGAAACAGGCGATTATTGCTCTTCAATTCGTCCTATGCCTCTTCTGGAAACAGGGCTGTTCTGTTCTGAGAACTGACACCTGCTGGGTTTTGCCATTTGTGATCAACCCTGGCACTCAAACCAGCGAACCTATTTTGGTGCCGCATATTTGTCTCTAGATGGAATTGTGTCTCCGTTAGGAAATTCCCGCTAGGCCATTTCAAGCTACTATTTCATGCAATCCCATCATTTCCTGGGAAAGATCGTAACCGTACTTGTCACATATCGACCGTATCCAAGAAAAGGATAACCCCTCCTCTACCATTGCACATGGATTTAGAAACGGCTCAGGCACCAGCCATCGCCACTCGAATGCTTATGCGCTACACTCTCGAGCTCCGGGATATGTTTGTGGCAGAGACACAACTTTGATATATATATTAGAGAGATAAATGAGTCCATGCCATGTTTTTGTTCCCAGTTTGTTCTGTCAGGAGTATTTCAACGCGTCGATGTGATTGATATCAGTTTCTTATCCTCCTCGAATCTATTTTCATTCCTTAATATCCCACTGGTTGGGCTTGTTACATTCTTTGATATATATTTATTCAACAGCACTTTACAACCCCTCTTAGACACTCCATAATTCCACTGCCTCCATTGAACAACTTCTTTTTTAAGAACTGGCGGTGATTATTGTAGTTTCATTGTTTCCAAAATCCAATTAACAGTGTCATTCCATTTTCCTTTCAATATCTTTTTTTTTTTTTTTTTTTTTTTGGAAGTTTGATTTTAAAAGACCATGAGTCCAACTATCCGTTCTGCCTCCCTACCTACGGAGGCTCGTGAGTATCGATCCACAACGCCCCTTCATATGGATCGTATGGATCACGGCATCCAAAAGCACCGAAGGATGTCCTCCACTGGTGGAGGCAGAGCGTGGACTGAGGAAGAGGTACTCACATTCCACGTCCATCTCTGAACGTACGTATATAGCTCTAAAGGAAACTAACTTTCTCATATAGGAATCTTATCTCCTAAGAACTCGCATGCACAAAATGCCTTACAAACATATTGCGGCACACTTGAACAAAACTGAACTTGCTTGTCGACTCCACTATCACCAGATGTCATATGGCAGCAACCGACGGCGACGCACAGATTCTGTGTCCTCCATTAGTTCGTTTGCCGGGCTGCCAACAACACAGGAATGCCCCATCGACTACAAATCTTCAGCACGCATGTCCACCCCACGATCTACCCCTAGTCCTGAATCAATGATCAATTCACCAGCATCTTCTGTAACCGATTCTCCCCAACAATCTCGCTCACATGTGCCTATTCTCCCGAAACCAAATATCTCACCACGCCACTCCATGCACTCTATACCCACAGACCTAACTAGATCACTCCGATTGGATACCTCGTTTGTCCATCACAACGACTCTCGTTCCACACCTTTCGATCACTCAGACGACATTGACACCGTCCGGCTCCGTGCGCTATATGATACCTACCGTGGATCATTCTGGTCTCAAATTGCTTCTGAGTACTCCAAAGAGCGTAGTTTCTCAGCTAGCAAACTTGAATTGTCATTTCTCCACGGAATATTTAAATCCTATAGCGGCCGTGTTGCGTCTCCACTAACCCCTGGCCTCAGCCCGCAAAATGAAATCCGTGAACTCCAGAAGGAAGCACCCATCGCTCCTGTACTTTCATCTGGTGGTGGATTCCATGCCATCAACGGACCCGCCCCATCGGCGGTTGCAGAACTCAACACTGCTATCAACGGTCCTAGCCCGGGCGAGAAATGCGCCGTGGCATCATTGCTGACCATTGAACGGGACGTCTGGGCCGCGAAAAGAATCACGACTGTATAGCCATCACCTTCGAACACTGCATCTATGGAAGTTGGATAAGATGTATGAGACTTTTGGCACGTCTTAGAAAGTTCAAGCATCCGTAACAGCAACAGTATGGACACGGGGCCTGGATTCGTGCTTTACTTTCCTTTTTCCACATTTCATTCCCTGCCCATGCCATATCAATATCCCGCTTTCCTCTCGTCTTCCTCCTTTTCCTGTACAATGACAAATCCCTTTACGCTGCCTGATGTACATTTTCTGATTCTTTCCCCTTATTGTTTAAGGGATCGTGGTTGGTGTTTTTAAACCTCTCTTTTTCTTTTATTACTATCTGGCCAATCTTGTTTTGGTTTGTGGTTCGGTGAAGGAGTATGGCGAACACTCTCGTTTTGCTTAATACTATGACTTTCGTTTTGCCTTCACGGCATGATATCTTTTTTGGGAATAACTATTATTGATTGTTCTTCCTCGTCTTTCTTTTCTTTTTGTTACCTGGGTAGGAAACTGTGGTTTCTAGGATTCAAATGGAATCTTGAATTTTTTTTTTTTTTTTTTTTTTTCTTTCTTGCTTCTTCTTTTCTTATCCTCTGGCTTTATCGGCAAAATGTTCGATGAAACGGAATGTGATTATGACAATGACAGAGTAGGTCGAGCAACAGCGCACAAATGCAATGCATCTTGAGCATATAGTTGTAAAAAGAAGAGAACAAATGAACATAGAAAACATGGATACGACATAGATCCTTTTCTTGCCCGTCGATCAAGCAGTGTCTGCATGGCTTTCCTTTGGGCAACAGCCACAGAGATCGACTGCGGAAAGAAAAGGAAAAACGTTTTAATTTTTCGAGATGCAATGAAGGAATGCAAGACTTTTTGTACCTTGAAGCTTGGTTCATGAGCAATCTCTCGTTTCGATTCGACGAAAATCAACTTCGAGTGTCACAAGGCCCCCAAACATTTCTAGGATTGTCCTTGGGAAGTTATCCGTAATTAACATGCCAACAATACATGAAGAATGCAAAAGGTTGCAGACCTGCTGCAGGCCGCAGGACACGGATCAAGTAATCAATACGGCATCGCAATAAGCCCACGATTTGACACAAGTCTCCAAGGATGTGCCAGAGAGTCACATCTGGACAATCCCGAAAGCCCCGAATGCACAAAAGTATGTAGCAACTGTCTCTAGTTGGTTAGATCGCTAACTGACAAGCCTGGAAGATCAAGCATTAGCAACCTCACCGCATCCCGATGGTTGTTGGTTTGAGTGGTTACCAACTTATTCTTCCTTTTCAAATAATTATCGATTCGGAATAGTGAACATTGAAGATATCAATCATCTGAATATGTGTGCCCTTGCCCATGCCTTGAATCAGTAATCGGTAACACAGAATCAGTTGCATCGGATGGTGAGGATGATCGAACCTTGGAATGCCGGAAGCAAACCACTTATTAATCGCCCGTTGTGCTCACATTTTCCTGCTTCCAGCCCATCATCTTTGCTCTCTAAGCGCCTGGTGCTAATTGTTCTCTACTTATAACAATCTCTTTGAACATCCCAATCCATTCTCATAAAGAAACTCTGCTCTCGCTTGCCATTGTGTGCGTTTATGATACGTACAACTTGCAAGTTTTTGGTCGCGAAACCGGGACAGCCTGGCGTTTATTTCTCCTCTCCTTGCCCAGCCGGTCCACACTCGGCTTATCATTTTTCCTGTCTCTGACCTGAAAATAATTGCTATCACACCTCGTACCGAAGTTCGTCTCATGCGCTTTGTACTAGTTAGGATTTTTCTCGCCCACCCCCTGCCGGATGTGACTGGAGGGTTCGAATATAATCACTAACCGGATTCTGCGCAGCTTTCTTCTGAGTGAGTCGGGTACATGGGAGTTAAACGGAAGACGAGAAATTGCGTTGCCAGCATAACCTGCTGGATGCGCGGTCCTCAGTCTCCTTGTGGCGGGATATCACGCAAATTAAATGCTCATTGCGGTAGTTCACCCGTCATGTGCAGTTGTAGGTAGCCTGAGGAATCGTCTATCACAATCCCTGAGGTGATTCTGTCGCCAAGTCTGCAATCAGTCTGTTGTTTGGTACAGCCCCCTCCGTTTCCAGCAAGGCCCTGAAGTGGGATGGTGCTGGTATGCGAAGAATTAAGACCTGCAGCTTATTAGAACTGGCAATGGCCTCTCACTGGCCACTCACTCTGTTTTTCGACATCAGAGTTACAGGGTCAGCCAACTTCAAGCCGGGCGCTGTGGTTTGCGCCGTATGTCAGCCCCGTCATTGCTTGCTTTCTATTTCATTGACTAGCTTCTTTCAGTCGATGCAGATAGCGTGTCAAATGGACGTGGGTGGAAATAAAATAAATAAATAAAATAAAATAAAAAGTAATAAAATAATCAAGATTTTTCATCTCTTTGTGGTAGCCACGTGCTTTGCTTTCTTCACTTCGACCTCATTTGTCTCTCAACTGATATCATGAACTATCTCAGGTGTGTCAGCTAATGTGACACTGAAAGACGACTCCAGATCCAATTCTCGGTATCTAGTCATTATCAGATGCCCCTTGACCACTAAACCCTCCCGTATGGTTGTGATTGGGCCTAGGGTTGAAATAGTTAGAGCAAGGAACGTAGGGGGGGTGCACATGCACATTCTTCCCTCTTGTCAACACCTCATCCGGAATGACTATGCCTTTCCCAGCCCACCAGAACCGAATCAGCTTCTCTCATTTCTTTCAACCCTGGACGGGACCATTGAGGACCTTTGGGGGCTTTTTCTAATACTCCGGCTCTGCATGGCCGAAATCCCTGAAGAGAAGCTGTAGTCGAGGGAAGGGCTGGCGCGTAGGTGCAGACACTCCAGTTCAACCACCATGTCGCCGCTCACCATTCTCAGGTGGCACAGTCTATTCCAAGTGGGACCTTCACTGCCCAAAGAGCCGTATAAGTGTGCTTCTTGGAGGGGCCCATGCACTGTTCAAAGCCTTGCCAGGTACTTCCGTCCCATCACTGCAATTTAGTTGTCGTTTTCCGGCCCTTGGATGTTTAATGTGCATCGCACGGAAGCCATCCTTTTCTTTTTACAACGGAGCTACCCATATAAATAAAGTAATCGACTTGGACTGTATAAAAAAAGCCAACCCCCTCTTTCCTCTTAAACCCTTTAACTTCGAAGTTATCCTCAACTCAATTTCGTGTTCTTGCCGTGTCGCCTCTTCGGCTGACTTCCTAACCCTCCTTTGCCTCAGTCGAAAAACCATGAAACCAGTAACCGGCATTTTGTGCCCGCCCCGTCATTGACCAAATGGCATCTGAGGAACATTCACCACATGGAGAGAGTACCGCAGGTGAAGAGCATTCCAATGGAATCCATCCCGCTTGGAATGATCTATCCAACCACGGTAGAGCCACCGATATCAATGGGGGATTTCTGGAACGGGAATGGGTTTCTCCTCATTTGGTGCACAACCGCCTATTTTCAGTAGATGGTATGTATGCCTACTGGCTAATACTGAAGCTTTTTAGCGTTTCCCAACCCCCGCGAAACCGTTATGTTACTACAGGGCACACAAATTCTTCCATGCCAACACCAGTCAGCCTTTGTGACTCAACTTTTCTTGAAGCAAGACATAGCCCGTCGCTTAGCCAGTCGCATAGCCATCATGAGATCTCGAATCGTGGTATTGGGGATCCCGCAAATCATCCCTGCCTGGGTATAAGCGTGCCGTCTACCGCAAATTATTTCCAGTCAGACATCTTCATTTTTGGCCATCACCATCGCCAAGTGCCAGAGAATAACTTTCCATTAGAAGCCGTTGAAGGGTTTGGTCCCCGAGCCCTTAACGGTGTCATGCAATCCAATGCTTCAGTTCCTCGATCTACCCAATTAAAGCTCCATGTGAATATTGAGCCAAACCCCGATGGGCTTCTTAGATTACAGCTCGAGAGGGGAACAAGCCAAAATGCTGACACTACAGAGCGCCGCCGATCGTGGCCGTCGCAAAGGAATTCTGCGCAAAGATCAAAGCCAGAGCAGATTGAACGCGAAAACCACACCATTCGATTACTGAGAAAGGAGAAGAAGCTGTCCTGGAGAGACGTCGTGACGGCTACCAATGAAGAGTATGGGAAGAATTACTCTGCATCTTGTCTTCAAATGCGAATGACACGAATGAAGCAGCGCTCTCAACACTGGTCCGAGAACAATGTGAGTATGTGTCCCCCATCATCTAGCTTCCCAAGGTATATCAGTCTCATACTCTTCTGCAGATCCAAGCGCTGCATCAGGTGCATAATTTTCTGGGAATCGTCAAAGTTTGAGATTATATCACAGAACGTTATAGTTACATGAGATTGAAATTTTTTATAATGCCCTTATTTATTCTGTGTTTTCACATTACTTTGACATTATTGGCTTCATCTTTCTTTGATATCCTTTGCTTATTTTTCCTTCATTGCAGTTGCAAGAGTTTGGATCGGGAAATTTTTCTGCATCTCAATGTGAAATAAAATGGAGAGAGCTTAAAAGAAATACTCATTCAATAGAAGAAGAAGCATCTGAGGCTTCTGAAAGCCTTCCCCGTCATCCGCAGTGAACATGATAACATTTTTTTCATCGAGACACTGTTCAGTAATCCCAACTCCCTTTTGCATATACCATGATACCCCAATAATATCTTACTTTGCATTCTGCATTTGCTGTGACTGGTTTTATTTTACTCAGACTCATGGAGGTAACTTTTTCAGCAGGCATTATATTTTTATAGTTATGAACTTACGCTTGCAACAGAACACAGACCTCTAATTCTTATCTGCCTGCGTCACAGCTTGTCATTGACACCAACATTGTAACACCTCTGTGTCTTGTCTCATTTGAAATTTCATCCCCTTTTGATTTTGCCTTTTTTCGTTGCACTCGGTTTTTTTTTTTTTTTTTTTTTTTTTTTTTTTTTTTTTTGGGTTGTTGTTGTTGTTTGCGGTTTGGGGTTTGGGGGGGCTCATCCCTCCTTTGTTGCTGCCACTAAAGGCTCAATTTTCAATTTCTCCCTCTCATCATTGGAAGACATGGTTGTGATCAAAATTCCCGGTATTGTAGATAAATGAAGTACATTCTTTCATTCCATATACTTTCATCCATCTACCATTCAAAGATTTTCAAGTTCCTAATTTTTCATCCTTAGGTTTAATACTCAACCTTCATTTCTTCGTTTACGAAGTCTGGTAATTTGAAAGCAGGAGGGAAGATTAATGAAGAACCCAATCAATCTAATCCTCGAAGATGGAAAAAGATGAGTCATGGGTTTCAGATACACTGTATCTATTCCGAAGATGTAAAAAAGAAGAGCTTAAAGCTGGCTCGAAGTCATGACTTCCAGCATTTCAGGGTTTTTTATGATGGCAGTGGTTATTTGCTCCGTACGCCAGGATGAGTAAGCAAAGCCCGGCTCCATGAGTGAACATCAGAGCTAGGACAGTCTTGGGATTTTTCTGGGCCATTGATAAATCAGTAATTTACCTTTGTCGCAGCTATCCACCGCAGGCCTGGGATATTCAAAGGTGATTCCTTGAATGTTTGAAACTGCTTTGATGATCCCTGACAGCACTAGTAACCTGAAAGCGAGAGCGCGGGCATCTCCCTATTAAGCAAGTTTGTAGATAAATCCTAGGGCAAAATGAGTTGCGCAAATGGGGAGAAATCCTTTCCCGTGCGTGAACGGAAACAATCTTGGAAAAGCCGCGGTTTTTTGGGTGCTTAAGGGGACCGCAACAGGATGTGGTTGGACCATTGGTAGGTGAAACTTCTCCGCTATGGCGTATGTGAAGTTGACCTCAAGGTGGAGCAAAGGAAGAAAGAAAAAGAACGGAAAGCAACTCCGGCGGTCCAACCAATCGCCCTATTTACCGACTTTCGTCAATGTTCCGCAATGTTTTCGATATATAAGAATGTCCGGCAATGTCGAAAACCAAGTCGTACTTTCTGCGGTAATGCTCATTGTGATGTAAGTTGAGTTCCGGATTTTTGACTCTGTCAGCTGTAGAACAGAAGCGGAGAGGGGAACACTGATTTGCGCAATTTGCACAATGGAGACGTACTTGCATGGACCCAATATACCGTTTCTTGGGTAAGCGGAGAGAGGGTCTTTAGAATTATGGAGGAGAACAACGGTTAATTGACATGTTGTAGCTTCAAAACTTTTGAGGAATTGAATACAGTGACCTGGATTATTTTAACGAAGACCACCGAACAGCGGATAGCACCAAGCGGCGGATTCCCTCTGAAAATCATCAAATATTCAATGTATCTGTCACGGCTTCAATCTAGGCGCAGATGAACAGGTGTTCGATTGCCAGCTAGGTAAGCTATCTGAGTGAATACTAAGATGATTCCTAAAAGATGGGTTGGGGGAAGGCTCTGTTTATATAGCCCTTTTTCTTAGCGCAGTTGCTAGGTGATTGCCACATTTACATGTTATTCATATGTGGGGTAATTGTGGGGTTGTTTGCTGTTGCCTAGGCAGTTGCAATTACTGATCACCTCAGCCTGTGGCAATTACACTGTCAAGAAGGTTAGACATAAGCCTGTTCTACACCATCACATTACCCCCCCTTGAAGCCTAGACATGCCCTCATGCTGGTAGGTTATCATCTGCTTCATCTGCTAGGTAGTCATTCTTTTCTCAAGCCTTCAGCCTTTTACTTAATTGCTTTAAGAGCCCTGCTTTCATTGAATTTGCAGTATGGAATTATCAAATCAGATGCAGTGATCTCTTTAGATTTTGTACTAAATACCATATTGAATCTTCATTGAATCCTAGTCATTTTACTCAGTATTAAAGCTTCTTACAGGAGATATAACTTGCTAAAACATTCTTAACTTCTCATTCATTTTCTTCTTGTATTTTAACTGGTTCTGATGTTTCATTTAATTGTCCTGATAGAAGGTCATTTGTAACTTTTTATAGCTTATCAGGAGAGAATATTAAGTAGATTTTCATGCTATTTGATAGTATTAGTCTATAGCTATTGTCAACTCTCTTAATAATCTCAAAAAAGTCTTCATTTTGCTCTGTGAGCTTCTTGCTAAGGTGTTGAATCCTATAGTTCTCGAGTAACAGAAAGATTTAATCTTCTATCTCAAAGTTTGATTTCTAACAGTGCTTGTTGATTTATAATTTTATAATTCTTTGCATCTTTTTCATATTATCTGCTATTAGTTTTCAGATCTTCTTTATTTAAATGATATACTGTCAGATATCTTCTCATTTGAACTTTTCTTCTCTAAATAATATCTTCAGCAATAACTTTTAATCAAAAAATATTTAAGATTTATATTCATAAGCAGTTAGAAAGAATATCATCTCAGTTGATTAATTTATTAAAATTTCAACTACATGATTTATTATTGATAGTTATTTATCTCAGTTGTTCTGATAGTAATTTATATACAAATAGAGTTTAATCATCAGATATTGATTAACAATCTCAGTCTGACTATTTTTTTTATATATAATGAGCTAATAAAACCTTCAGCTTAACTCTTAATCATTTGATAAATTCACTTCAGAAGTCTGAAATAAATTGTGATTTATAATTTGATATAATTGAATCTGATACTTCATAATATTTATAGTAACATTTTAAGAACAGTTTCACTAGATCTTTAATATCTGTCTTTCTTATGATAAAAAGAGATATAGACTTCTTGATTAGTCAATAGATAATTATCAATATTATATTATGATCTTTTTTTATCGTAAAGTTATTCATGAAGTTCATTGAGATATACTGTCAGACTCTGCTAAGAATTGATAATAACTTCAGTAGTTCTGAAGTTTTATCATAAAAGATCTTCATTTATTGACACATTAAGTAATTATTTATATACTGATTGATATTATTGATTCTGTAATTTCAGTAGTATTTTGCCTTCATTAGTAAGTGTAGCTTTCTTTTCTCAGAATATACTATTGATAACTGCTTATAAATCTTCTATAGAAGATATATCTGAAGAGTAGAATCTTTCTCAATTGATATCATTAAGTACTCTTTAAAATATAAAAGTTTATTTATCAACTTTTAGTACTGTTCTCTCTATTGTACTTTCTCATATTATAATCTCAGTAATTCTACCTCTCTGTTTCTTATCTTGATTTTATCAGAAATGTATATACTCATATCTAAAGTCTTGATCTCAATAAATTTCTTTATGATCTTTGAGTTTAATCTCTTTAACTTAAGAAATAGTTATATATAAGTGCTTTTACTATCTTTCTAAATCTTCAGCTGATTCAGCATATCTGTTAATATATTCTGATACTCAAATTGATACGGAATCAGAAAGTAAAATCAGAAGAAAACTTTACTCAGTATATTTATCAGATTTTTAATTATTATAAAGTACTCAATAGTCTGATAATCAGTCAAAATTTTGAATCTCTCTATTCTTTGAAAGTCTTTCAGCTCAGCATATCATTCTGTCAATGCTCTCATAATTACTAGTATTTTTTTATTATAAATTTTATAATTTCTCTTTACTTTACTTATTGAAATAGAGTAGAAGATAACTGAATATCACTGCTTATTTTCACATAACTAAAATAGAACATCAGCTATAGTATCATCTGAAGCATTCATCTTCACTTGAGTTTCTCAATTTAAGTTGTAATAATAGAGTACTAAGACTTCAGATAAAGCTCTCTTCATTTGATCAAAAATATACTGACAAGTCTTATTTTACTCAAATAATTGATTCTTTCAGATAAGCTTAAATAATGACTTCATAATTCAACTATATTTTTTAATAAAATATCTATAAAAATTATAAAATCTCAAGAAAAATTGAACTTTTTTGACTGTACTAGATATTGCTTATTGTAATATTACTATAATTTTTTTTAAATTTATTTTAATTTTTTGATCAGTAATAATAAAATTTAAGTACTTTATTTATTAAATATAAAACTTATATTTTAAGATACTTGTTTATAGTTCAGCTTCTCATAATCTAGTTAATATCTTCTTGATATATTTTTTATGTTCTTTTAAGATTTTGCTATATATAAGTAGATCATTCATAAAAGTAGTTATAAACTGATTCAAGTAATCAAAAAAGATAGTATTCATAAAGTGTTGAAAGATCACTGAGTTATTATTTAGATTAAAGAGTATAATTTTATACTTGCAGATCTCATAATATATTTTAAAGATAATTAGATCTTTAGTCTCAGAGTATATATGTATTTAATGAAAGTCTTGATGAATATTCAATTTGATAAAGAATTTAGCTTTATTTAGCTGCTCTATAAGCTTATTTGTAATGC